AAAGTTGTAGGATATAAGAGCTCGTTCGTATACTCCGCTCATTTTTTTCCGGTATGTGAACAACGAAGATCTTAGAGTAAGGTGGAATGAAAACGAATACCTTAGAAGTAAAATATAATCTAAAATAAGATGTGAGAAGATGGACTAATGATGATATTTACAAATTAGTTCAATTGTTTAAAAACCAGTTCCAAATAGGAATCGATATTTTGAGTAATGTCTCAAACAATTTTAATATGGTATTCAAAGGAAGACGGAAATATGTGAAAAAAGATAGTTATGTACTAATATTACAGACCGTTTACGTCGGTCTGTAATAGCAGTATAGCATCTCTAGTTTGGTATCTGTGGAAAAGTAGATTGAGATGCAAAGTGACGAAAGCATTAAACCGACTGTCTGGCTCACGTATCCGCAAGTCCCGCCTGCTCCGCCGGGGCTGGCCGCACGCCGCCTGGCCTGGCCTGGTCGTGCCCGCCGCGCGACAGAGGGCCCACAACAATCGCGGTGTGTGACACAACGGCGGCAGAAGGGGAGGAGGGTGCGAGGCGTTTTCGAAATTTCACTTTACGACGCTTCTATCATTCGATTTGCATGATTGCCACGGCGTTGCATTCGCAAGCATGTCGCCATCGCGCTAATAAAGCCCACATTTTTTAATTTTTTCTCGGAAGTTCGAGAACTAATTTCAAATTTGAATTTTTGCTAGATTTTTGGAAAAGGGCATCGTAGCGTGAATTCTATTTTAAAAAAAGCGTCAAATGCCGTTTACAGATCGAAAATCGGACCATTGGTTCAGACGTTATCGGTAAAGTAAATTTTACTTATTTTGGTGCTGCGACGTGGTGGCCACAAATTGTACTAGTGCCGGTACATTTAGCATTAAAAGAGATCGAAGAGTTTTGTCATTAATGACCGCAATAATGGTTCCCTACAGTATATATCTTCTCCGCTAGAGTTCGCAGTAACGCATATTAGCACTGCCAGGTAGCGTTAGTGCGCATATGTTCTTTGGTTCTTACCGCGCGATTTAAATGCCAGGTTCCTTCAGTTAGCACGGAATATTCTTACAACGTAGTTGCGAGAATTGGTGTGAAGTTTATTTGAAAAAAATACTTGCAATGCAAAAATTTGCATTTCGGAAACATTTAAATACTCCAAAAATATCTAATTTGTTTATGATTTGCAAAATAAAATAATATATTTGTTCACATAGAAAAATTAACCAAAAAAAAGAAAAACAGTCGAAAAGTATAAATTGGTTGTTTTTTTAAATTTCTGAATAAATAAAATGTTTATTTCTGAACATTATTACTGAAATGTTTATTTCGGAACATTTATATTCATTTCTTTTGTAAATAATAAACAATTTACATGTTTCTGGAGTGTTTATATGCTTCTGCAATGCAAATTTTTGCATAGAGAGTATATTTTCAAACCAACTTTTAGTGCTTATTGTTGTTCAAGCATTAGGAATATTCAAGGAGTTTATTAGACAATATGCCTAAAATTGTCTTAAGAGCTTATTTTCGAAGTTTTGATGTTTCCTCCCGGGATATTCTATATAGTTGAATAATGAATAAAGGTGCAAACAAAGCTTAGTTAGCAACAGAAATTTTTGCTCCTGCGTAATAAAAACAATTTTCCATTAGCAAACGAACTAAAAGTTTATTTTATGGTATTACTGACAAAATTCCTGTAAATGATCACGTCACTTACTGATTTCGAATAATCCATAAAACATTGATCCCGAATGCTCGGAGGCATACACGATCAATCAGGCGTCGAGGTTGATTTTGCCTCAATAGTGGGTAATACGACGCTTTGTGTCTCTGCGAATGGCGGATGATACAGTCTTTGGTAATACAGGTATCGGGAGAGCATAGGAAATTCCCGATAAATTCCTGAGGCGTGATACATTTGTTTAAATATCCTGTTCCATAATAATATTTTATTCAAGCACATCAAATGTATTTTCCATCATGCTCGCACTGAACCGCAAACGTGCACCCAATAAATAGGACATTGTTTCCGCAACTGAGGACGTGACCCATCGTCCAGAGCGCGTCGAAGTGTGTTAAACGAGGGATTAATTTCTCGGGCGCCGTCTCGCTGGCCAGTGCACAGCGACCTCGCGCGTCAGAGGTGTAGCGCTCCGCGGCGCCGGCGGCCACAGCTCCAATTACGACGAGACGCCCCGCAGAGGGAGGGGGAGGGGCGGCGCCCCCAGCCCTGGATCCCCCCGGCGACGAGAGGCACGCCTCCGCCGCTGCCACCGCCGCCACCGCCACCGCCGCCACCGCTGTCACGCCGCCGCCGCGACAATCAAACGAGCGGGCAGGCGCGGGCGCCTGCCGGGCTGCGGAAGGACGATGGGGCTGTTGGAGGTGGATCTACTCGAGAGGGAGGATAGGCTAAGGGATATGATAGGTTGTGATGTGAGGAAACGCAGTGGGAACGGTACTGAGGTGACGGAAGTAGCGGTAGTGATATCCGTAGCGTTGATAGTAACTGGTAATCGAGAAACTGATACACTAGCTCCATCTCTATTCGAGAGTAACTGACGCACAGAGTTGATGAGTCTCAACTATTACAGTAACGTCTATTGGTCCACTTAATGCAGTGGTTCACAATAGTTTTAAAATTTTCATCTATTTTGTACAATGAGACATAGATCATCAGAGGAAAATCTTTCTACTGAAATATTTCAGAACCATTTCAATCAGTATTAATTTGATGCATAACACTTTTAAGAAAGCTGTGGTCCGTTGTGGCCTGTTAAAGTTTTATACTTGTTGGTAGAGGTCCATACTTCCTTCATTATCCATCCAAGTACTGACTCACCGAGCGTAATTGACTTTTTGCACGCCAGTTGAAAGCGTCACAAATCCAATAAAAATGCATTGATTCACATATTCACAGTTGTTATTCAATGGGTATAACAATTATTCTAACACATCTATCTACTAACTAAAAAATAATGCATTTTTTTAAAAGAGGAAGCAATACCAACAACGTGAAGAATATCAGAAACACATTTGTAGAATGTGTTTTCAAGAGATTATTTGCTTAACACTCATCGAAAATAATGTGTAACATTTGGATTTCTAGAAAATTAGTTACATTATTCTCAAAAATGATCGAGGAATTTCTACGGGAAGCTTGCTGAACAATTTACACTACGTATCTCGCTTGCTGCACTGAACAATTTACACTACGTATCTCGGTTTGAAACCCACTGGTACTATCATTATTGAGCTTGATCATTTTTGATATCTTTAAAATGAGCGCAAAAGCTATGGAGATAGTGGTTATCATTTAATAGATCATTATATCTGTTGTGATGATGGCAAGATGTCAGTGATATGTCTTGACAACGTTAGCAATGGAAGTGGTAGAGGATTCATGGCTGCAATACCCTGAGAGAGAGTGTCACTGATGGAAGCATGGATTGCGTTGATGCACTGAAGGCCAGACCGGCATTAAAAGTGCGCATACAAAATTTTCTGTGATTTTGAAGAAGCTACGCAAAATTACTACACTAAACGAGCAACTACAATGTTTATTTTCCTTTATGAAATTTGTTATTTAATGACAGATCGTGAAATATGGTCATGTACAATTTTTGAAAATATAAGTAGCTTTCGCGTAATTTTGGATGAAATATCGGAAAATTTTAATTATTTAAAACCAGTTTTTCTCACAAACGGCTAGAAAATATATTTTTCCCATTTTTCTCCTCGTATGCATCAAGGACGTTAAAAATCTGGTGCTAGTCTCACTTCCGCCAAACTCTCCGTATTTTCGAAAATTGCAAACTTTTAACACCTAAAAATTGTTACGTCTGGTATATTAAATGCAATCTCGATAAAAATAAAACAAAGAGACAATGGAATTAGCTAAGAACACTGAACTTAAAATCAGAACTGAATTTAATCACAAAAGTAGTTAAAAACTTAAAAACCAATCACAACAAACAATAATACTTAGCATTACTGACTTCACTCCATACAAACAACAACTCTTTATTGCAATTCAATAACAGAATATTGAAAAAGAAAAGCACGATACCACCAATTAACATCTCAACAGGTACAGCTTTCACATATGACAATCAGTTCATAGACTCGGCAAAACACCTTCACACAGAACCAGTATGCAAAATACTTTCACATTTTCCTCAAGCAATTCTCCGAACTAGATCCCGACTAGAGGAGCCCTTTGGGTAACCTCAACCTCTGTATTAGTTTTAAGTTTTAGTTTAAGTTAGCTATTAAATAATCCAATATTTATAGTTATAATTATATGTATTGTTAAATTAAGCTGAACTATGTGATCACCACCTGTAAATAAATGGGGGAAAATGAAAAGGAAAAAACAAACAAACAAGTATTCTTCTCAACCTGAGAAATGAGCTTTCTCGTCGTCACTCAGCAACAGATACTGGGAGGAGTTGCAGCGTAGTGACCCAAAGATCTATTTAAGAAGTTATCGAACACGTATTACCTTCTTGTTAATTCGATCATTTATTATGTCTTCCCTGTTTGTGTTTATTCCTAATTTTAATTAAATGTTCATTACAAATAATTATTGTTTGACAAATTCAAACCCAAAGAGACGCATTAATATCAATGATCAATCAAAGCAAAGAGTCATAGCCAAATACATCACTACCTTTTCATCTGTTTTCTCGTCATGGGTCAATATGTGAAGAGCCTCCTCAATAACAAAAATTTCGTAGCTCAAGTCAACGAACTTGTTGCTACCCGCATAACGAAGATCCTTGAACAAATTAACATATGTTAAATTATTAATTAACAAGGATATCAAGGAGGCGCCTCGGGGCGAGTTCACGCAATTTCTGGAGACCACCGAGCAGCAGCACAGCTCGCATGGCACTCGCATGGACAAAATTGACGAGCTGGAGCAGAATTAAAAGAGAAATTCGCTCCGCTTTTTAGGAATATGTTAGTCCAACACTGAAAATTTAGACTCTAAAGTGATGAAGGTCGCAAGTGTTATTGATGTAGGTATTACTCTTGAAGACATTGACAGGAATCATAGAGTTGGGCCTAGGACAGATGACAAGTGTCACTCTGCTATTATTAAATTAATATCTTTGAGGAAAAGGGATGAAATGTTTCAAAATAAAAGGGTAATTGATGATAGTGGGAAAGTAATTAGAGACAACTTAACTAAATGCATATTACAAATACTGAGAAATGTATTTAAACATTTCATCTTAGAAATATATCTGTTATAATTTCGAAAATAAATTGTTGTTACAAGAACATTTCCCCGGAACTTATCCTGATTGGAAGGTCGCACGGATTTTCTTGTTAATTCCTAACTAGAAAACTTCATTTTGGTGGTAGAAGTAATAAGTTGATAAGTTACATCAAAGGCCGCGGGGTGGGTAATTAGAAATGTTATTATCAATCAAGAAACTCCCGCCTACACCGAACTAGTGCAGACACACGGTGTAAACGAAGCTTCTGGTTCAGATAATAATAGACCTCTCTCTCTGTCTGCCTGTCTGTATGTCTGTCTCTCTCTCTCCTCTCTCCACTCTCTCCTCTCTCTCAACAGTTGAATGAAAGCTTCAAGAAGAGATTCTCTCGCGTCATCATCGCATGCAAGTCGGAAAAGGAGCTGGCGGGTGGGTTGCGTTCCGCAGGCGCCGGAACGCGGGAGCTTCGCCACTGCAAACGCATCTGCTGAAGGTGATCCCCAAGCGACTAGTAATATTAATATTGGAACGCGCGCGACTGCATCGCGAATTCACGAAAAAGAGTGTTGAACTTTAAAGGAGGTTAATTTAATTCCTGAATATCGAGGTAATAAAAATGAATTAGAAATGTTATTATGGCGGTAGGAACCGTAATATCATCAATAGTTCCACAAACCAGGAAAGGCGATTGCAATTTTTGCTATTTAAAATTCGCAGAAAAGCAGCGCAGCCTCTACAATTTAAAGATCTCTCCTCTTTAAAAAATAGTCACATTTACGGACAACTTTCGGCACGCAACATACTCTCGAAAGAGAGAGTAGCGGTGTGGGATAATCAATTAGAGGTCTTATTAGGAAATTTATAAATGGCCTGTCCAACTGACCACCGAGTCGGGACGCGTTTACAAAGCACCTCGGCGGGTGTCATTTACATAAGGATTAATAAATACGCGGATTCAAACCGTAGTTTGTAGTCATGACGAAATATATTCTCTCATAAGTGCAACATAGTTCTGAGCCATTCATTCCTTTGAAAGCGTTATTCTAGTGACTACATAAATTGTCTAACAATGTAGGACCTTCTCAGAGCAGTGGGTTCAGTCGTAAAAGGTAGTGACAATGTCAAATGCCCGCTAGGACGCCTGCGGGTTGTAGTTTGAAAATGAGTTTCAGCACGGTGGAGCGAATTCTCAGAACTTAAGAGAAGTGATGACTCGTCTTTATTAATCCCTTCCTAGACTCTCTGCATTTTGAATTCTACACCATTCAAGACAAAAACTGACCTTAGACCTCGCCTCCGATTCGTTAACTGGGAGTTTCCCTTCTATCGCCTAGCCTAGCTGTGCATATGAATGTGATAAGAACGCCATTAGAATCTACATGTGAAAACGTCAAAAGATATAGCAGAATGTTACAAGATATCAACATTGTTTGTCAGATGAAAGTCTCACCTGCTAGTTTGAGATGAGAGGGAATTTGAAATGTCTACAGAGATTTGAAGCAAACTTGTAGAAATTGCAGACACAATGAAGAGGGTCCGGAGGGGATTCACCCCTCAAAAATATAGATTTTTGTTTATTTGTTGTTTTTTGCTTTAAAATTAATTTCACTTTTGATCTTCCAAATGAATTAAAATTTTTGGTTTGCGAGCTGTTGAAGTTGAGATATCGTTGTTTTTATAAACACATGCACCGAATGTGGACGTGGTTTGACTTCCAAGATATGGTGTTCGATATGAGTATTATCTTGATAATGGTTACTATGAAGGGTTCAAATGTAAGGGGAAATTGAAACCATAATGTTCAGATGTTACTGTACAAAAATTTGAATGCATAAAGATCATTCTAAAGCTAATGAGGGTGAGACTGAGAAAATTGAAACAAACACTTGATACTACAAAACTAAGTGATGGGAAACTAAGGGGGAAGAGGTCAATTCACTGATGAAACAATCGACAGGTTGCAGAAATGTAATGGTTATATTATAAGAGAAAATACTGTCTCTGGTGAAGACATGAATAGAGCAGTAGGGGCTGGGTTCTTACACGTGGCATATGACAATCCAACCATAGCGTTCGCGCTTTGCTGTCGACTCCATGCGTGCAGCAATTGTTGGAACTCCCTGGTTACATGTTTTTGCAACTTTTAGTACTAATCCATTGTTGTAGTGCTAATTTGAACTAATAGAGCGCTATAAAGCGCAACCGTTGGTTGTATGAATATTTTTTTTTAGTTTTAAAACTTTAGAAGCAATTCCCGTATGTTACAAATTTCGTTATACAAGAAACATTTTCTCCAAAACCATTAATGGTAGGTATACCAAACTTTCACAGCTTATTGCAAGCGGTTTAGTCTGAATTTTAACACGAGCTTTTAACAAACATTCTAGTATTTTGCCAGATATGAAATTCTTTTTTAAATTTTTGAGGAAAAACGTTAGTGTAAAATAAAAATAATATTACTTAAAACTTATCCAACTGTATATTACGAGTATAACATCAAATAGTTTTTTTCATGAAGAAGGTTGTCTATCATCAACCACAATATAGTAAAATAATTCCTCTACCATGTTGTGTAGTCAGAATTTATGTTTTACAAGATTTCTCCACTTTTTCGTTTCTAAAGACCGGCAACACGTTTTTCTCTCGAAAATTTCCAATTTTTTTCACAACATTACTCATACTTTCTCTAAACTGCGTAAGCAATAGCGAGAAAGTAAAAATTTCATTACTTACGCTTTCATTAATACTGTCTATAATAAATAAAATTGCGGCTCTATAACCTGTTTTCTTTTACAAAGTGGTTAACGCTTGCAATAGCATACGCCTTTGAAAATGAAGTGCGTGGTCAGAAGACCTCTAGGAGAAAACGTAGCTTTGTAACGAGACTCGTTCGCAGGCATCCAATATCTCCCAGACTATATCGCCACAATCAGTCCACTTGAGACTTAACCAGCTGCTCCCCAAATGTGACGTCATTGTGATGATGCGTAATCGCCGCTGACTGCAAGACTGTGCTCTCCGACTCGTTCGTTGAAAAGTGCTGAAGAACCGCAGAGTTCTTTTCGCTCACACGTACCGTGTTCATCAATAGTTACCCATACGCGTGTGATCAGGGGGCGGGGAGGCAGAAGGGGCTGAGTCGGGCCATGGCTTCTTTGAAAGTTTTCAAAGCGTCCCTGTACCCTCACGTGACAAAACATTTTATTACTTCTAGTCATGACATTTTATTACATGACAGGCGAAACGTCGGCCTATCTGCCAACGACGCGGCGTCACCCGGACAGCCTAGAAGTAATGGACTCGAGCCGCGGAAGCCTACGTGTACAAAACATTTTATTTTCTTAATTTTTTCAATCCTTGATTTCCACCTTTTTAACGTGACAATTTGGGAAAAAATTATGCAATATTTGAGAAAGGGGTTCTTCGAACCATCTGGCAACCATGTAAATGTTTTGATATTAAATCAGTTGTATATATTAATTCTGTTATTTATGGTTCCCAGTGTCACATTTGTGTGTGTGTATATTATATATATATATATATATATATATATATATATATATATATATATATTAGATTTAAAACTTTTAGATAATCCTTTATGAACAAAACTTTTAGAACTGTACTGTTTGCAGATTAACAGGTAATAATGGGCTCCATGGAAGATAGTATCCAAGAAGCGATGTGTAAGTTGAGTTACATAGCTAAACAAAAATGCGGCAATGTGAAAAATATATTTTGTAAATACAATTAAATGAACAATGAGACCAAGAAATGTATTTGCCCACTCTTATTTTAGGATATGCACTCCTAGAGTGTATTTTTATTTCCTTCGGAGATTTCAGAACATCCTGCCCTGTTTTGATCCCTCCCCCTTTGAAAATTTTGAAAGGAGCGTCGTAGCCTTAAGTAATAAATAATTTTATTTCTAGAAATATCATCAAGTCTGAATTTACCCTTTTAGCTGACAGTAACAAATACACGACGTTTGGAGCGGAAGCTCTCCAAACCACATGGTAACCTGAAACTGGTTCAACATAAAAACAATTGTGCGACACAATGAAGTATCTGCACTCAATGTTTGTAATAGATAATAACTTAACAAATTTAACATTGAGGGCATTTTTCAACACAATCACCATATACACTAACGCAGGTCAATGTACTTAGTCCATCATAGCATTAACTTTCTAAAACCCTCTGAAAAAATGATTTTCGATTGAACAGCAAGCTATGTATACATTGCTTCCTCGCCTGAAGGTCGGAGATTTTTGGTTTCTCAAAGTATCTTTAAGTGGAGCAAGCAGATGGTAATTCGACGTGACAAGATCGGATCTGTACCCGGGATGCTCGAAATTCAGATTTGAGAGATAGTGCGACAGTATGTGAATGCGCGTTGTTTTGCTTCAAAAGAATATTTCTCGACAATCCATCTCGGCGTTTTATATGTAGAATCTATGTTACTTTCATATGTTTTGCCAGCTCATCAATAGTTACTCATCGGTTATTCCGAATAAGGACACAGACTTGCTCAATATTGGTATCGGTAATGGATGAGATTGCAGCTCTGGATCCATTCTCATCGTGAATGTTTATTTGAATGGTCCAGTAGATTTACCAGTAGAATACTGGTAAACCTTTCGCTAAGGAAAAAATTGCATCACATTGTGCTGAAAATCTTCTAAAGTTTTCATATTTTGGTACACATTCAGATCACAAAACACGATTTTGAAAGTCTGTCCTTTTTCTGGTACAAACGAAGAGTGGTGAAGCCATATTTATGTCGTCTTAATCCCCCTAACCACATTAGTAAAACTGTCGTCACACACCGCAGTCGACCCTCCCCTCCCCCCACAACACCCAACTACCGTGCATGAAAGTTTTAATCTACTTTATGCGAGTTACCATATCCGTTGCATTACATTTGGTGCACCAACAAGTGTGTAATCAGCGCGGCCGTTACATTACATTTGTCGGCCAACGTGTCAATAGTGATACATAACAGAATCATACAATATTTCCCTCATTGAACTGATTTTAACGTAATTTCTCTAATGCGATTTACGGTGTGAAATCAATTTCTTTGACATTTTAATTTTTTTAATGTATGGTTTTAAAAATAATTTTACAATTATTGGGCATGTGTTCCTTACACAAAAAGGAGATAATGGTCCGTACGAAAATGTGTCTTCCAATCTTTTGTTTTCTCGTTGTTAATATATTAATGAATTACGAGATGGTATACCTCGTAAACACATAAAACTCATTACAAGTGCTCGAAATGTGCTCTGTCGGTCTATGGTACTAGTGGCAAAATTATTCACAGGATATTTTTCCAAAATGAATATTTGCCCATCGATCGAACCCGACTCGATCGCGAATTTGAAATGAATTCTTTGAGTTTGGGGAGTACTTTACATAATGACGGGGATATTTTCAAAATTTTCGAAAAAAATTGCTCCACATTTTTTAAAATTTCTTGTAAGAATAGAGTGTCGGTACAACTTTCACTGTTGACACTGAATTTTAGAAAATTGCAAAAGTTTCCAAGTTTTTGAACCTCTTCGTGGAACCACAAAATTGAAAAAGAGATTTTTTCTTCAAATAAAATGCATTGTTTATAATAATTTATTATCAATTAATTCCGTGTGCATTTTTCGAAAACATTAGTAGTTTTCGTGCAATTTTGATTAAAATACCGTCAACTTTAAATACTAAATTTTCACAAAAGTGGCTCCATTTTTAATGAAAATGTGCACATAAAACTTAATTTATTCTTCTATAATATCCTTAAAGTCGTATTTGATTTCTATTATCGGGGGGCAAAAATTGAGAAAATGCATAAGAAAGACTTGCGTTTTTTGTTATTTTTGATAAAACACAATATAACTTTCAATATAATATGAAAAAAAAAAAAAAACTAAACCATTTTCTTAACTGACACGATCTGTACATATTATGTCCCAAAATTGTTTGTTGAATCATTTTTCTTTATCGAGTACGACATGGGCAAGTTTTAATGCTTAAGTAACTTTATGTGCTTTATTATAGAAACGAATAGTTTCAATGTCACCGAGATCCTTAGATTCGACATTGAGAATCACTTAATGCATCTCACATGCTCCCCAGCGGGGCACTGCCCTAACAGAGACAAACTCGACGCTCCTGACTTATAGGGTACGTAATGTAAATGAGTATATAAAGGGAGATGAGGGAAAAATAATAAGGGATGAAAGATCGTGCGTGGTCCGTAACACGTTTGTTTAGATACTGACCCGGCATTCTATGGTATTTATGGTTATGACGTATGGAAATGTATGAAAGATCGACGTTGATTAGCTAATGGGAGTCACTTTGAACACGCATCGGAAGAACATATAATAAAACATTCAACTGAAATGGTAAGCAATAATCACAGCCCCATTACAAATATATTCACTACCAAAGAGTTTATACATTTTTTAGGCCTCTCTATATGTAAAGGAACAAGATTTATCCAATTATTCGTCACTAAGGCGCAGCAATAAGTTTCCTATCAAATATTCGTCGTCTTCCGGCACACAATTACTGTACTTTATCTTCTTTCAAAGTAAGTGCGAGAAAGTGAAAACCGCGAACAACTACCAATCAGAGCATCCGGCCACGAGAATTCTGCTCTAGACTCTGGCTGAATCGACCTAGCTCTGTGGCGTGTGTTGAAAATTCGCCGGGACTCTAACGCTGATCTGGTCAGTGACGCTGGAGACAAAACGGCAGTGCTGCCACTGATACATCGCAGTCTCTGTGAACTGTGAACACCAGGAAGATGGATAATTGACCATTAGACCTAACCTGAAAATAAAAGATTTTTGGTATATCTTCTCTAAAATTTTCTGAATGAATATCAATAATGTTCCTTTTGTTGTTCCCCATTCGTAACATGCTGTTGGTTTTAATTGCGTGAAATTAAATAACCCGCCATCTCAGCAACCTGAAGCTCCTAGCGGAGACCTTCAGAAGTGTGCGATGTTCCCTTGCTTAACTCACTCTGGGAAGATATCGTTTTGTCACGTTTGCTAGCAAGATTTGTGGAGGGGATGACCTTGTTTTTGACGCAACACGAGGATCACCACTAACGAAGCCAGCCGACCATTCAGGAGCCGGGAGCGAGGACCCTGCAGGACCCTGGTCCAGTACGGATTGAGCGAGACAGCAGAAACCCAAGAGCATTCAAGAGATTCAAGCAGATTGGGATAGGAACGACGTGAACACACAGCTGACAAAAATCAGGCTCTAATAGACAGGTGGGTGCGTCAAAGATGGTACGAAACTGCCGAATTGGCAACGCAACAAGTTCCACAGGAAAGATAAGCTTGTGAAGAAATACTTATTATCTTGTATACTTTGTCATTTTTCTGAAGGGCTTCCTAAATCAGCTGACTCACATCACCCATCAATTGAATTTTATTTAGGGTAGTGTATAGTGTCCCAAGTAATAGATTTTTTTCCCTTGTTTCGCATTTTTATTGTGTGGTTTCTTGCAGGGACATTCGTTATGGCAATGAATGTGGGAAGAGCTTTGTCGTGTATGCGAACAATTTATGTATCGCGTGTTTTAAGACATGTTCGAGAACCAGTGTCGCTAGGAACAAATTTGGCACGGTTTTCATCAAGTTCGCCAGATGCTCTTCCAAAAACTGATTCGTGAGTATTCCGGTTAATAATTTTGCATAATTGTTTTTGATAGCCTTATTTTTAAATATTGATACCTCTCTTGAGCATTATGCAACTTCATAAAAATTTGTTTCAGACTTGAGGTTACATTTGTAAAAGCTGACGGGCAAAAAGTTAAAGCTCGATGTAAAGAAGGGGACTCACTTTTGGATGTTGTTGTGAACAACGAACTAGACATTTCAGGATATGGTATGTTAATGTGTGTGAATTTTTATATTGAAACTACAATCATCTTTTAATTTCTTAATACTCTTTTGCTCTTTTAATATTTGCATCAAAAATATCATTTCAAACATTTAGTTATGCTACACTTTACATGTATGTTTCAATGGATATTGCTGTTTTTATACTCGTTAATTCTTCTCCTTCATGAACACCTCTGTCCTTGAAATAATCCAAGGACTATTGATAATGAAAATTATTATTATCATTATTAGCGTTATGTCAGAGGCATAAAATTTCATAATCTAATTTAGGTCTTTGGAAAAGCGATGGACTGAATTCAGCCTTTACTCCTAATTTTAGATCACCTCCTCAGTGTGTGTGTTAATAATATTATATCTTTTGATACACATGTATGACCTTTTTAAAATAAGGATATGAAGTTGAGGGAAAATGTGCAATATTATTTCTAGGGGGCAGAAATTTTAATGAAATGTCATTTTTTTCTTTTCACTTTTGAACAATGCCTTTGAGTATAGACATTCATTTTATGCTACGGCAAAAGCAAACAACCCATTTTTATTTGGCATTGTTTTAGCATTTTTCGTTTTCTTTTACTACTAAGTCATTTTTCCTTCATTTTTAAAGCATTTTCCCCTGATTCATCAATTTTAATATAATTTTAATGACACTTATTGCAAATAATATTTACAAGATACAACAAATGCCCTTCACAGAATTTCTTAGTGGCCTATTCGATTTCTTTGCTCAGTAATTGAAATGCCAGGCATTGTAAGTATGTAATCTAAGGTTCCTGTGATGCCTATCAGTGCTTTTTTCAGTTCGGCTGATTTCAGGATAACAAAAGTGATTTCTTGGTAAAGAACGGTCCAAACCAAAAGTTTGCACACTGAATTCACTTGAACGAAAGGAAGAATCCTTGACTACACCAGTAACCTTTCCAACAGCTTGAGCTGTTAATTTAAACTGGTTTGGATCAATTTTTGTATATCAATTTTCTTTGCTTTTAGGTCATTTTTAAAACATTTCAAGATCATTTTATAGATACTTTTTTGCGATGTTTTAGGCCATCAAAATCTGCTCCCTAATTCTTACTATATTCACATAATTATCTAATTCAATTGCAACCTTGTTTGCAGTTTTTATTTTCTTATTTTTATGCATTTATTAAAATTCTTTTTCTTGAACTTTGAATGAATATTTACTGTAATGTTCCCTGTGCTTAAAATCTACATAACACTTTCCCTAAAAGTACGAAGTACAAGAACAATAGATGAAATCAGAGGTAGATGTTTAAAATGATTTTTTTTTTTTTTTTTTTTGTTGTTGTTGTTGTTGTTGTTGTTGTTGTTGTAAGATGTGAACAGAGAATAATGCAGTGTTTTGCGAAGACATTATTTAGCTGCTGAGTGTTTAGGATGAAGATATCACATGTAAATCTATATTAAAATTGTGAAATTCTTGGATAAAAAAAGGGAAAGATTTCTATTAATTGTTTGACAGATCATTCAACAACAATGGTGATGACAAATGCAAGATATGCAAGCTTGTTTTAGTTGTTAAAATAGGAATTTGGTGATGATCATATGATAGTAGAGAGGTAGAGTATTGCATACCTATAAAAATATCATAGCCACTTGTTTCCATGGGGATGCCTATGCTTTTCTATATTCCAGTTTTATATTTATTTTAATTTAACACTAATATTGTGTACAGTGCAAAATACTCTCTTTTAAAGTGAGTTCTGTGTGAAAGAGCTTTTAGACCTGATAGCAAAGCAAGGGTCTAAAGGGTGAAAAGGACAGGATTTAAATTTTGCAAGGATGTTTCAAGTTTTCCTTACTTTAGTTTTTATCCTCTGATGACTGCCCTCTTAATACTATGTCTTTCTCAGGGATCAAAGCAATCGGGATGCAAGTGTACTCACGTCACTTCCATCTAGAGTGGAAATTTAAATATAAGATTTGTGGAACCTTATCTCCTTGGACTTGCAGGTCTTGTTGAGCGATAAGACTAATACATTAATTCATTGAATGTAAACATGCAGTTTAACATAGTATAAAGTATACATGTGTTTAGAAATAATAATTATTTTCAGAAGGAATGAAGTGTAAATTACTAACAGTGTGAAATATGAACCTTAACAATTGTTGCTTATTTGATTACAATTTACAGAACAAATGAAGTAAGCTGCAACTGTTAGATAAGATAGATCACATTTTCATAGGTCAAATATGTAAAATAAAAATTAGTCATTTTTTTGAAATGGGTTTTTCAGGCTTATATTGTTGATTTTTGAATCGCGGAAATTGAAAATCTTTGCAACTATGGAAAAGGTTGAATGATTGGACACACTTTTCTTTCTTAGGTGCCTGTGAAGGAACATTAACATGTTCTACATGTCATGTAATACTTTCTAAAGAAGATTATGATAGAATACCAAGTAAACCTTTGGATGATGAAAATGATATGCTTGATTTAGCATTTGAGCTGACCGAGACGTAAGTAAATCATTAATATATTGTCATTTCAAATTAAATAATTAATGTCAAATTTGTGAAATATGTGCCCATTATCATAATGTTAATACTAGTTTATTAGAAATTCTTGTGATCATTTGTCAGATTGTGAGTTACAAACTTCATATTCACACTATTCTGTAATTCTCAACTGCTGCCTGGGATTGATACCGTTAAAAAGAATTGTTAGCTTCATTGACCCCCCTGAATTTTTTTCTGGAATATACAGCAATAATAATCACAATGCAATGAAGAAGATGAAAAGAACTTACAGTTAATAATCCTGTATGTCAGTATATTAAAAAATATCTTGCCTTCCAATTTTTGGAGACACTTCTGCTTCTTGAGTTTTTGAACTTTGTTGTTATCCAACGGTTACAAAATGTTGAATTTTTGTTGTTGTTTTTTTAATTAGCCATAACATTTCTCCAGTGCATATGTGGAGAATATTGTTTTGTGCGATAGTGTAACTTTCTGAATACTTAGCTATGCTTTGTGAATTTTCTTTACAACACAGTATTAAATTGTCAAATACAAAAAAAAGGGGGTAATTTATTAAAATTGGTAATTTATTAAAAATTGTTTTTATGAATACAATTAATTATCAAATCCAGTAATATTTTTTGTAGTCAGTGGGATATTGATCTTGATTATATCAATCATTCATCTATTTATATTCAGGTATGGACACCCAAATGAATCCTTAATCTTCATTGACACCCGATGAAATTTCTTCAAACCCCAAGAAGTTAAAACTGACCCTGTTGAGGAATCCTATTTAAGTTCTTTCCTAAAATCCATTTTCAAATTTCTTTAAAATTTGAGCAGTTTTTATTGCCCAAATAAAATATTTTCTATATTATTTTATTCAATTATGTTATTGAAATTCTCTCTTGAATGTTTGGCTTGCAGTTAGTATACAAACTTTAAGTTATGGGATTTCTTTTAATTTGGTCCAAAAAGGAAAATTGTTCAGTAGGGAAATGGTTATTGGTGGCACTTGAATGATTATTAATGGTGCATTGAAATATCATGACAAAAGATAGAAAGTCTGTAATTTCTCATTTGTTTACGGTGAGTTGCAATCGGTGTGTAACTGGCAAACATAGTTAGAAGATAACAATTAGTTGAAACAATTCAGTTAGTATTTTGGGCCAAATGTACACTGAAAAACAAAATCTTCAGAAGTTGAAGTACAAGTGTGAGTATAACCTTCAACAGAGGAAACAAAATAAATAAATAAAGAAACATTTTTAGTTCAATTGCTGAGGTATTAGAATGTGTTTGCAAAAGATACAATCATATTTAGTATTTGAAATAATCAGAATCCTATACTAATTTCCACATTGTCACTCCAGTTATATTACTACAAAATTCAATGAGCATACTTCATACGAGGTAAGAACGAGTTAAAATGGAATATGCATATTCATGCAACATTATGCAGACGTTAAATTCTCCACAACATTGGTAGACCGAATGACAATGATTTGAATTTTCCTTACAGCCACAATCTATGGTTCATTGTACAGGTGACACAACACTGGTGAGCAACCCATGGTTTGTCCTTATCACAAACACGAGAGCTAAAGTATAAAGAATACGCACGTTACATAATTTCATATATTTTTTCTCTGAAGTTTAGGGGTAAATCTTCCACAAGTGTAACAGAAGTTATCAGGTCGATTGGCACACTTTCAATGTGAAATGACAATTTGCATTTTATTGAAGAAATTCAATTATAGTTCATGTGGCAAATTCCACTGTATAAAAACCACACAACTATATTGTATTAATGTATTTGAGGCACTCTCAAACCAGACACGAACTTCACACACACAGTTCTGCATGGCACTGACGCAGACTCACTCAGAATCTACCACCCCAACAGTTGGATACTTGTATACTTGTGATAAGGTAAAACGCTAAAATAATTCTTTTCGATTACTGTTGCGGAATAGGAAATATGTGGGTGCATGTGACTTGTTTTCAAAACATCCTCTAAGACCACGAAGACCTATTCGTAATCGAGCATGACTACAGAAGTAAGAATAAAGATAGGAATCTTTGAATACGGATGGCAAAAAAAGCACAAAAGCCTAATTTGTTCATATCTCATGAAAGTGACATAGATGAACTGAACAAATTTTTCTTTTAAATAGATTTTATACATATTGATTCTACATATCTTTCTGGTGCAGTTTAAATGTATTTGCATTTTTAGCAAAATACAGTACAAAGTTACAGTATATTTAAAATCTGTGACGTCATAGGATGTTTTTATTGTGATACTCATAACCTATCAAATCGAGTATGTTGTGCACTCTACCTTCCTGGAGGTAAAAATCTTAGTTTTCTAGTCTAATCATTGTCATAAATGTACATTAGTTTGTGCAGCTATCTATTACAGTTTTGGAGTGTTATCATTAATATACTAACATTCAAAATCCTTGTACATAATCTGAAATACTTGCATGGCTCGTATTATTTTTTTACATTAACTTCTCGAATCTTGTATCACACACAATTCTAAACTTTTTGGAACTAATTGTACGAAAATTTCATATAAACTAATTACAATACACCCTACTCTTCTCATTTTCAGCCCACATATTCAAATATTTAATTTAATCATTTTAACTAAATGTCTGTTAGATAATTTTGGAATGATTTTCAGGAAGTATTTTGTTTTAACGTCTTAATATTCATTTGGAGTCTATTAAATAACAATAATTATAATAACTAGCATACCTGTGCGAGAACTCTCAAATGTTAAATTCCACCCTCTTACCTATATTTCCTTTTCCGTAATAAGGGGTAGTTGTTAAAAAACCATGTTTATTTGTTTAAATAATTTTAAATGTTACATTCAATGTACTTAGAGAATTAAGAAATTGATGTTTGAAACAAATTTTGAATAAAGATATATTCTGTATTTTAGACATATTCTTGGAACAAATCACAACACTTTCATAAAAACATCATTTGAAGGAATTATAAAATCTGCCTTGTCAGTTAGCTTTTCGCTTTCCTTGATAATCACAAAAATATTATAAAAGCTTTTTACTCTCAAGAATGCTTCAAACTTCCAGATTTTAAGGCTCTAGAATTTGCTAGTGTTTTGTGTGTTTCTACCAGAGTGTTGTGTGATGCATTTGACTTGAATTTTTTCTTCATATTTTCAAAGTCAAAGTGCAAAATGTTTTGTCTACATGAAGTTCTCTTTCTTTAGAGACCTCATTTATGATCAGATGTGTGTGCACAAATCTGATCTAAACTACTGAATTAATATACGAGAGGATTTTATATAATATAAACAATAAAACATTAAGTAGCTGCATCTGGTCTATCATATGCTGTCCCAACTATATTTCCACCTATTTTCAATGATTAATAAATCAATCTGTTTAATAATAAATTAAACTTTCTTGCATGTAACATTTAGATCTTTTACTAAACTGCTCAAAAGTGCATTTAAAGTACTAAATGTGCTAAGAGAATTATACTCCTAATTTTCTTGTAAATGCTTAACTTGTCCAAGATTTGTTTAAATTATTAATCACTCTAGGGAATGTATTATTTTCCATTTTTTCAATGCAATATCATGATTGAACGCACTGACTTAAAAATTTCACCAAATCACTACTATAAAGAAAATAGCATCTCTGATGACGTCCTTCTCAACTTTTCTTGCGCCTTCTGCCTTCTCTTTTGGATCCACACGCTGAACACCCTGGCAGTTTCGTGGAGATAGTTTCCTTCCTTGAGTCTTGATTATCCCATAGTACACTGTAGGTCCTTTCGTGTCTTTTCATAATAGCATAAGGACTTGCAGCAAATTTCCCTTTTATCAAAGTGAAGTGCACCCACTTTCAAAGAAATGAGATTGAATAAATAAGGTAAAACTATTACTCCATTTAAATTACTATGTTAAGTCTTTAAAATTAACCACACCAAAAAAGTAAACAATATCGTGAAAGAAATATAGGCGTATGCTTTCACCAAATTTCATTTGTAATTAATGTTTTCAAAAAAAAAAAGTTCCCTCTTGAACTGCTGTCCATGAATGTATATTGACTTAAATTAGCAGAGTTTGGAATTTGAAGGTTGAGTGATAAAAACGGACAAAAAGAGTGTGAATAAGAATAAAGGGAGCGTTTAGTTATTAGTAAATATGATGTGATACTGTACCAACTGCATCATTATGGCAGGTTATATCACAAACTTTACACAGAAACCGGAATGTCAGTACTTACATTCGATAAATGAATGGTTGCACTATACACAAAAAACAATCAAGCAATATTTAATACTTCTAATTGTTACTGCGAGAGCATTTAGGTTTATTTGCTTAATCTTGAATTAATGATTATGCAAATAAACTTCATCTATCGGTGCAAACCATGGTATACACAGAAACTATACATATAAGAGGGAGAAATCTAAGCCCTCAAAGCGTGGTGTCACAAACAAAGATTGCCTCCAGCGTCAAGTAATATATTTGGTATTGGATAATATTGATAAATGCCCGACCAGCAAAAATATAATAAAATATCTAAGATTAAGTTATGCTGTAGATTATGAGGTGAGAAACAAGTCTTTACGGCCTTTGGCATGAAAATTTCAATTTTTCAGACCCTAGAATGCTTAATTTCAGAGATACTTAAATATTTAGATTTTGACAATGCTGTTGAGTGTTGTGGGTTGCATTTGAAATGAGTATTTATGGGCGGTTTTTCCAACAAATCGTTCCCATTTTTTTATGTCGCAAAGCAATTTCTCACGTCTTTGTGAAATTCTCTCTCTTTAGAGACCTCATTTATAAATATTGGTTGCCTTTGAGAGGCACAAAATGTATCTATACTACTGAAATAATATAGGAGACAATAATAATTGTTTTTGTTATTATTATTGTCTCCCTGTTACTAGCATCTTATTGTCAAGGTTGTTGTTGTTGTTATTATTATTATTATTATTATTATTATTATTATTATTATTATTATTATTATGTTAGTTTAAAAAAGGTAATTTCATATTAATCAGCAATTTCTGGAGCCATTGCATACAAATTTTCAAGCAAATCTTCATATTTTAATTAGGATTTTAGCAGTTGGTTACATGTTGACTAGGTAAAACTACCGTGCCTTGTCACTGTTCTAAATTTTGTCTAAACAAGCATTATTTATGTTATTATTTATATTTTCATTATTTATGTCTATTACATTTTCCAGTTCGAGACTTGGGTGCCAGATAGTAATGACAAAGGAACTAAATGGATTGGAAGTAAGACTACCATCATCTGTCAATGATGCACGCGGTTAATGAAGGTTTAAAGTGATTTTTATAGGAAAAGAAATGTTAAATATATATATATTTTTGGAAGGTGAGGTTAGGGTGTACAATGTTCATAGACTTTATATTAGTAGAAAATATAGACTTGCAGAAACTATTACTTGGTTGTGATGGTTCAGAAGATGGCACAAACTACTATACACTATCAACAAGAGCTCTCTCTCATCTATTATCTATAATTATTTTCAATAAGAATGGAGAGTGGGACATTTCTAAATCAATGCCTGTTGAAATGTGTGTTCGTTATTGGTTCCTTGCTTTTTGAGTAAAAGTATTTCAAGTATACATGTATATTTGTAATGGTATGTTAAAATACTGATCTAATATTTCTGTGGTTTCCTGATTACATTTTCAACTAATTATCTTGGCACAGCAACTTTAATACAAATTGTCAAAGGAAATTGGTCCTCTAATTACTGTAATACAAAACATTTTGATCAAGGTCTTCCCATGTAAATTTATACAGGCCAGTGTGGCCCAAGGGGGAGGTGAAAGTAGGGCTCAAAATATTGTTGCCATCAGCACAAGGAGGTTATGTGGTGAGCCTTAATGCCCTGTCTGCCTTTATTCCCAGGAAAGAATCCTGGTACTCACTTGGAAAGGGGGCTGAATTGACCCCAGAGCTGTCCTGAATGGAAATCATCAACTAAAAATCCCAACCTATCTCCATATTCAAGCTTGAGCTCTACCATTGAGCCACATAGCTCCTTTGATGGTAAATGGCACTTCCGAATCATCCCCTTAAAAACATTGGTGCTTAATCCCGTACATTGCATTAATAAAATGTGCTTGATTTATTGTATTTGATCAATTTTTGTCAAAAAACATTACAAAAAACAACTATGTAATATTTTGTACTTTGTTGTGTAATTGAACTACATAACAATGTTCAAAAGTATACAAACTATTTTTGAGCCAGTAGATTAATTATTTGAAATTAAAGCTAGAATTGTATATGAAATGATGATCCTACTATGATTAGATATGAAAAGATAGCAGTATATGTTTTCATTCATGTTTTGAAGGTAACTCATGTAAAAGATAATATACTGTAGAGCCCCTGTTTAATGTCACTTCAGGGGGGTGGCTAAAATGGAGGGGTTTGGGGTGTTCTTTAAAGAAACAAGCTTTAACCAGCAATTATAATTTTTTTTAATGCTTTATTTTTATCATAGGGATTGTCCATTAATTACATAACACTAAGTGGGGCAGCATTACATAGGGTATGGGGTTTTGGTTTAGTATTAAATAATGCTCATATTTATTTTTAAAATTTTTCAACATTTACTAATATAATTCTAGCTAGAAGAGGGGCTCATAGGACTATGGGCTCTTTTTCTTGAGAATGCAGAAATGAATTCTGGATACTTTAATCTATATCCGAGCAATTTTCCATGATTTTATCTCTATTAATTAGATTAATTGGTAAAGCAATATTTCGTTACATGAAGAATATTGCACTTTAACCTGTTCCACTTAATCCAGCAAAAGTTATTGATATTCGGGACTTACATGGCAACTTAAAGGCATAGAGTAAGGGTGCAGAGGGGATGTTCAAAATACTGTAAATTTGCATTACAAAATTTATGGATGGTACCATACATAATTAAATCACAATATTAACATACAAATTCTATGTGTGTGAAATTTATAAGGATGAGGGGCACTCCCGCTACATCACAATTTGGCACAGCAAACTCAGTATACCACCACCACCACCACCACCATAATACAAATATCATTGCAGTTGTTAATGATTTTCATTCACTACAACTGGTAGCAGTGTACGGCTGATAGCATGAGATGACATATTTGGTTACGTTCCGAATATGCAGAGGATAAATAAAAAAAAAAAAAAAAATTAACACCATATGTATATTGTACGTCAAAGAGAATGATGTTGAATTGAAAATATAATTGCATTAATTACATATAGACATTGTCAGGACATTCAGAAATTAACGTTAAGTATGGGTTCTACTATATGATGAAAGTTGTAAAGATCCTTGAGTGGCACAAGAGAAAAAGCATGGTCTGGTTAAATGAGAATGGTATTTCTTAATTTGTAAACATTTTGATTTAGTAAGTTGTTTTTACTAAAACAACTTGTACTCAGAAGTTTGTAAACTCTATTTACTTTTGTCATTGTTATCTACATAAACATGTTCAAGTTCTGTAAATTTTCTTTATAAGATCCAGAGGAATTGAAGTGAACAAAATAATTTTCAGTGTCAGAACTGAATTGATCAAAATGGGAGTATTGTCATTTATCATCATTTCATACATGCAGGTTTGAAATTTTTCATTGCCTTTTTGTGCACATGCATTCAAATATTGTTAGAATAAGAATTTTACAGCAGCATATTGCAATATCCTATTTACGTTGTTGAATGCCATTGTACCACTAGGTTTGCTACATTTTTGATATGAATTTTATTCTAATGGATAATTTTTTGTATCAATGTCACTTGTATGTTTCTTGTAATATATTTGTCTTGTGTAAAATTCTCATCATACATTGGATGATTTTAGTTTTTGTGAATATCAATTATTATCTGTATTATTGCTCAATATTTGAGTTGCTAAACTGATATATTATGTACATTGATGAAATTATGTAGTATAAATATTTTTGTTTTCTCCTGAAATATTAATCATGTGTACCTTGTTACATGCATCTTACCTTCTGGTGAATGCAAAGGGGGGGGGGGAGCTTGTTTGAGGACTTACCTCCTGCTGTGAAAATAAAATAAATGTTTTTATTTTTTCAACTTTTAGCACAGGTTCTTGGCCTATGACAAAAAGATTACAACAAAGTGCACAGCACAAGTTACAAGATTACTTTACATACTTGCTTGACTAATTACCAGGCATGCAAGTAAACCATTTGAATTTTTGTGAAGAAAAGGGGATGCCCCTTATATTAATCAATATTACAAAGTTAAAACAAAATACAGATTTAATCATCAGTACCTAAAAAGAATGGAAAACCCCAACATAAACAAGTGAGAATGCATGGAATATTGAAGCTTTTCCTCTTAGATTCTCGACAGTGTTATTCTTGTTTGTTTGTGGTTGGGTGTTTTATTTTTTTATAGCTTTATTTAAAGATCTACTATTGAATGAAGTTAGTTGAAACACATCTAAGCCACAAGATGTAATATGATTGAAAAATAGCTTGGATAATTAGGACATAATTTAATATTTCAAGCAGCAAGGATAGATTCCAAAACTGAGATGAGTGAGATGTATATTAACACCCAATTCACAATAGTTTTTTATAATTAAATCAATTTCTATCATTGGTTATTATGCACAATTTATGGACTTAAGAACAGTAATGTTTTACTATCTCACATAAAAGGTGTGTCCCAAAAGTAATGCATCACATTTTTTTAAAACAAATTTATTAATCAAATAGGTACAGTAACTTAAAATTCTTGAAAGTATGACCCTTGTGAGTAGATACATTTTTGCCAACAGGATGCCAGCTTTGTGCGCTCAAATGAAGCCCTCGGCGAAATACTGTAGAGTACTCGTTGAACTTGCTTCGATATTGTGTAAAGTCACGGAATACGTACACTGCATGGCCCTATTCAGCCGAGGGAACAAAAATAAGTCCGCCAGAGTAAGTTCGGGGCTATAAAGGAAAGTGTTGGAAACGGTGCCTCGCCAATGCGGATTAGGTAGTCCGCGACAACCAATGCTATGTGGGCCGGAGCGGTGTTGTGGCGAAGCTTCCTCCAAACCCTGATCTGTCGGGCGCGAATTACCGTTGTTGATCTCTGGAGCCCTTGTTTGTAGAAGTAGGCGTTTACGGTGTGTCCAGGAGGTACGAACTCACTGTGCACTATCCTCTTTGTGTAAAAAAAGGCTATGAGCAAGACTAACGCGCGATGTGCTCATGTGAACCCACTTGGGGCGCGAAGACACGGAGGTGTGCCACTCCGCGCTCTGCCCCTTACTTTCCGGGTCGGTACTAATTCGAAGATCCATGTCTCATCCCCGCTGATAGGTTACAAAGAATTAGGATGAAATCTCGAAAGCGTCCAGTGGTGTCTTTTTCAGCCTCACGCGAAACTTGATCATGTTTCTTTGATCCAAAGATATCACCATCGTAATTCTAACGCGAGTACTATTCAGGAGCCCAAAAGGACACTTCTACACTCCCAGGGCACAGAAATAACCGTTGGAAAGCTAAATCTCCCCTCACCCTATGCAAACCAGTCTGGATGCTCTTCGACCTATAGTCGCGTTAGAAATAAGGCGACGCATTACTTTTGGTACAAACCTTGTAAGTACGGTATAGAGAAAGTATACCGTAGGACGTAGTAGAAAATTGTGTAATGCTGCGGAAATTTGATACACGTTTTGGAGTCCCCTGATGCCGTTTTTCCCCTCAAAACGTGCATCCATGAACAACACTGGTGCCTAAAGGGGCGTTATTAAGTTCCTACAAGTCCTCACGAAATTACTAGTAAACGCAATACGTCTCAAACAAATGGATCACCATTGCATCGCGCACTGCCCTGCCACGCACACCGATTCTCTAAGAAGAGTACGTCGTGCTTTTATAAATTCGGGAATTTTAGGAATCTGATCCCGTAATTCAGAACTTCGTTCGTCAGAAGAAATATTAAATCTCTACTGAACATTCTGGTTCACTGTCAGAGCGAGAGAGAAATATGTGCCCCATAATCATTTTCTAAATTATAATCTCGACAGATGGTACGGCAATTGGTACTAATAAAACATGTGCGAATAATAATTTGCAATAATAACATGCAACGAATAATAATTTTCGCAGTGGGAGGGGGAGAAACATCCAATTCTAGCTAGCTGAGTTCAGTGCATTATCTGCTGCGGCTTCCCCCCGATCACCACCCGCCGCTGGCACATTGAATTAGATGCTCTTGCCTGCCCTGCGAAGATTTCAGATCCGGGGTAGAGCTGTGAGTCACCGTAAAGATCGCAGTAGAGTGTACAACTGATGCAATCTTTTTGATCATGTGACATACGGTTAATTGTAATTTTTATTCTCAAAATTCATTAACTTCTAAGCTTTGCTTACTGAGAGCCTAAACTATTCCTAGATTTTTTCTCCAATATTCCCCGGTAGATCTTGCTCTACTCAAAGCTCTGCGATTTTAAATAACTTTCTTTCATTTTGGGGGGTACTTTACATAAAGCCTCTGGGACATATTCAACATTTTCTTAAAAAGTGCTCCAATTGTTTCCTTTGAAGGTTGTAGCAGGACACAGGGGGTACAAATGCCCCTAAGATTACCTCAAATTTGATTAGAGAGCATGTTTAGTGTTATTTTTTAAGTCATTTCCCCAAAATTCCAGAACGGAAGCCTGATTATTTTGTAAGATATCAGAAAAAATAGACTATTTTTTCATATCATGAATAGGAAATAAAATTCTGAGACTGTGGGTATCTATACGTATCTGGGAGATACTTAAAAAAATATTGGCTGGATTTTCCTTCTTTTTTTTATTCGATATTTTTGTTTTGTATCTGAGGTGACGACTGCAAACAAAATCAAAAAATTGGTATTAATGTTTTCTTTACTACAATTTTTTTCAGATTATTCTTGTTGGTGCATCGTATTGAAAAAAACAATTTATAGGCATATAACTCATAATAAATTAATCATTTTTCTTCGGAAAAATACATTTAAGAATGAAATTCCTATCATTTTACCTTACAAAAATATTGTGATTATTTTTTCGTGCCAAATTCTAGTTTTCAAAATTCAATTTCGGCGACAGGAGTATTCTCGACATCTTCCTTGATATTCATCTGTTGATTTCTTCTACCATGCCTTGGTCGCAGAATTTAAACGTTTTCTAAAAGTGTGCAACTATTAGGCAATCTTACATAATACTCCTGCTTTTGGTAAAAGTTCATTATCGTGTAATTGATTACGTACCAGTCTATATTTTTACCCAATACTCCATAGACTGCTTTAACTGGCCAGCGAACTTCAGTTACAACGCGATTTAGTCGATTCTTTGTTGTCGATTGCTTGCGCTTTCCTTTCAATCAGTACTATGTAACATGTCTTCCAGTTCACTATTAACATCTCTGAAACCTCTGTTTAAAACAAAAATATCTCCCTGAATCGGAAAAGAATTTATGCCGGCGTCTTTTGGCATAACCTCTTTCAAAATGCATCATTTTGATTTGCATAGTATGGACCACAACATCGACAACATAAACATTTCCATTTTTTTCACACAAAAAGGTCACAAAAACATTATACAAATATTTTTTTTATCTTTAAATATTTGAATTTGGTGCCAAAAACGTCCACAACATTTTTGTATGGAAAAATGATTTGATTTTCACCCTAAAAAATATTTTTCCGAATAAATACTTATTACGAGTTATACACCTATAAATGACAAAAAAAGTGTCATTTTATTTTCAATATGATGCACCAATAAGAAAAATCTGAAAAAGCAGTAGTAAAGAATAACTTAATACCAGTTTGTTGAATGTTATGGAGTTGTCACCCCAGATTATAACGCATAGAAAAATACCGAATAATAATTTAAATTTTTAAAGAATTCCCTGGCATAGTTTTGGGCACAATAATCTTTAAGATACCTATGTATCCTATGTCTCATAATTTTTTTCAGAAATTTATTTTCGAGTAATGATATGAAAAAAATCAAGAACCAAAAATTAGTATTTTTTCTGATGTCCTACAAAATAATCAGGCTTCCGTTCTGAGAAATTGGGGAAAATGACTTTCAAAATAACACTACACGTGGCCTCTATTCAAAATAGAATTAAGCTTGGGGTAATTTTTACCGCTCTTATCCTGCTGCAGGCTTTCTTGTATAAATAGAGTATAATACACTATTTTACGGCAACATTTTACTACGCAGGTCCGTTTACTAACAGGCAAAGGTCCGATTTTGACTGTTAGCTCTGAATTTTCGAGTCGGCGTGTTCCTACAATTACAAAATTGAAGATTGAAATTTTTCCTTCATAATTAGTTATTTCATTAATGACATGAACTTTTTCTTACAAATTGTAATAGTTTTTGCGTAGTATTGCGAGAAATGTGAGCAATATTACCAAAAATCAAGAGTTTCTAAAAACTTGCTCCAATTCTTTACTTTCTCGTTACCGCTTATGCAGTAGAGAAAAAAGTTATTTAATGCTGCGGGCAGTGCCGGCGCTAGACAAGGGCAGACCGGGTGATCGCGGGTCCGATAATGGGGGAAAAATAGTAAAAAATGAAAAAGAAATTAGAACTCGAGAAAATCGTTATCGTAACTTTACAAATCTCTGTACAGTACTCCGATATTTCATCAAATTTTCAATTAATGTTTTACCTTAAATAGGTATAGTCATCACATATAAGGCAGGACTCTGAAATGGTTCACATTACGCTAACATTAAAATAGGTTCTACTTAATATTCATTATTTTCTGTATTTAACAAGTAATTTTCTTGAACACTAACTTTTTTTTCTTCTTCTTTTTTTTTCTAACATCTGCTTTATTTGCAATTTGTTCTACTCGAACATTCGGCAAATACAATTGTACATACATTATTGACATGTAAAGAAACCATCCAATTCTGGTTCTTTCTAAAATGGTTTTAAACTAATTGTCCAATTCAGAGAGAAAAACAAAACAAACATGAACAACAATAAACAACATCACATTGAAGTAACAATAACATAATAACAAACAAACATAC